CCGATTCAGAGGGTGAAGAATCTCCTCCACCCAGTCCGACAACTCTCCCAATTCAGGAGAAAGCGAAAACAGAGGCGTCGGTGAAGACAGAAACCTCAAATGGTATACTGTCATATCCAACCTTAACGCCTTCCGACATCACCGTATTCGGTCCCCTCCCAATGGCCCAAGGTGAGGTTCACAGCAGAATTTCAATTCTTATTGTGCCTACATTTATCAAGATACATTAAAGAACCAGCTTTTAAGCCCACGGTTTATAAAATCAAAAACCCGAGGTAAAAATCTTTATGTCGTCTTGCTGGACGCAGCGAGACCCTTGAACCGCATGTTGATGCATTTTGGTATTCGGGTTTTTCCGCAGTATGTTAAACGCTAATATAGGTTAGGAAAATATACAGATATAAATCAACTTTTCTAAATACCATAAAATAGAAATGCAGATAGCAATTATTAAAGTATATTCCACTGCCTATCCTAATTCCCCACCCATAAAACCCCTATAAACACTGTTTCCTTTGGACAAAATGCTAGCACTAGGGGTATACGAGGTACACTACTTAAATTACTGTTGTCGAAAATTTATATGTTAATGAGTTTAGGCACGTACTGTTCTTTATTATTAGCTTGTACATCTTTGGAAATCGACTATCAACATTGTAACTAATCTTTCATTGTGCACTTTTCAGTCCCTACCCAGACCCAACCCAGGGTCTTAGCTCTCCCCGTGGTGGAGGACCGGAATTTAGCCAAAGTGCCTGCCCCGCCTATAGTACAAAACCTTACCGAACAGTCTTGCATTTCACCGACCTTGCGTATTGAACGTAGGTTTCTGTCTTTAGTTAAATCTACTATTATGTCAATTGATAAGTAATTTCTCTCGGCTCAGAATTAACCTGACTTTGCTTGTTCCTCGGGATTTTCTCAGTTGAGAATTGTTGACTGAAGTCCAAAATGGTACCCGGAAGCAGGCTACATATTACGTATGATTAATTACCCCACCAGCTTCGCCTCCTAGGGCTCGTGCACTTATGAGGCGAAGTGGTCCTACCTACCTGTAACTTCGAATAAGTTGGTCTCTCGAGAAATATTAGTGAACTTATCATTTATGACCTGTCTACCGTTGTCAGTCGTTTGCGCGTAAACTTAGACTATCGTTTGCTTGTCGCGGTGTGACTACCTGTGTGAGTTCTGGATCAAGGTCCAAACAACAGAACGCCTGTATTTCGTCCTACATGAAGGCTCGATTGACGAGCCTTGCTGGTAGTATTTCGCGGCCGTTTGTGGATTCGGACATCGTGATTCTTTTTAGGATCTTATCAACCTCTCGTAAAACGAAGGATATTTCTACTGTAAAGAAGACGAAGACGCGATCTCTGGAACGATACTATCGTTCCAGAGATCGCGTCTTCGTCTTCTTTACAACAAGAACCTGGGGCACGCATATTCGCTTCTATTCTTGAATATTTCTACTCTTTAGCTACTCCACAGACAAAGGCCCCAACTCCGCTGCCTCGATCTCACGGCTCGGCTCCAATCCTGTTTGGTGCTGTCAGTAGTACTCTTACTGCAGCTGCTCCTCGTCTGGCCGAATACATGCGTCCCGAATCGTCCAAGCAGACGTGTCCATCAACGGTACACACACCTTTGGCTGAACCGACCACTACAGTGGTTGCTGCTTCCTCTCTATTACAGGCGCTTACCCCTTCGGACGATCTCGCCGTCCTGACGCGGGAGTTTCGCACCGAGGACTCGCCTGAATCCGGTAAGGACAAACTCTCGGGTGAATCTGTCGATAGGTTGGACTCTACTCCCAGTCCCCCGGC